ACCTAGTTACATCACATCAAAATCTCGATCGAGTTCGAAGATGAAAATACTTCGTAAAGCCGTTGCTTAGTTATCGGAGTCCATCCGGTTTCTCATTTTGATCGGATACGATAAAAAACGCCAAACAATCTCTATTCTCGCTCCCGTATGGGTACATCTTTTCGCGACGTTTCATCAGCTATCTTATCATCCCATTACTGATGGTGCTTGGAATAGAAACCTCGAAAGCGAATTCAGTACATCTTAATCGGTACGTCCACATCTATACATATAAACCCCTACGCTTTTGGACAGCTGAATGAGTGCGTCTTAATGAGTACCTCCAAATCTGCATATCGAAATTCATATATATATATATATATATATATATATTATACCATCTAATGAGTACGCGGGAGTCAGTACGTCTAAATCTATACGTTCTAATTCATAAATTCTATATTTTTATATATCCAAATGCTTACGTTGGAAACAGTACGCCAAAATCTATATGCGCAAATTTATAATCTATGTTTTTATACATCTAAGTCGGTAGGTCAGAACCAGTACGTCTAAATGATTTAGACGTACTGATTCCAACGTACGGATATATATGTACAAAAATGCAGATGTACAAAGCAAGACGTACTGATACGGATGTATAAAAATATTGATGTATAAATTAACAAGCATAGATTTTGTCCTACTGATTCCAACGTCCGTGTTGAGATGTATAAAAGTATAGTTGCGTAAATTAGGATGTATAGATTTAGACGTGCTATTTTAGATGTACAAAAATATAGTATGTATTAACTGAAGCTTCTAATCGATACATACTATATTTTTACACATCTAAATCCGTAGGCCGGAGTTAGTAATTACGTCTATATGTGTAAGGTGCCGTAAGTTCAAAATTCGAGTGAAATTTTTTTCTCGTTCATTAATATATGAGTTCTTTCAATTTTATAGAGATAGTGATTTCTCAGGGAAGCAAAATAATATGAATGATGGGCTACATGTCTTTTCAGCTATACCCATGTGGTCCAACACGTGCAGTTCAAATTGCCTAGTACACCCGTCATGGTATCTTAGCATGACAAAAGACATCCTCTGTCTACGACTGGACTAGAGAGATACTTCTCTATAACCCTTAGTGCCTACTTCGATTGTCCATGTGTTTCGTTCAGAATAGCCCCAAAGATAGAAAACCGAGTAGAAAGAAATGATACTAGGTATAAGTAACAACGACAACGTCATGACAAAATACTCAACAGGAGTCTAAACGATGTAATATTATTCACAGATTTTCTTACGTCAATTCAGAAAGCAGTTGAATTCATTCAGATTAAAAGATAGATAACAACAGAAAATTTGACAAGAGATATCCAATGAAAAATGTGCCTTCATACAGAATAAAAGTCAATTTTTTGGACGACATAACTCAGTCGGGACGATATTTCAGATTTGTTGACAAAAAAATCATTGCAATATATGGATTACAATCGTAGGTTCTTACAACGGAGAATAAACTGATTTTAACATCGGAAATGACATGATATCAATAAAAACTGCTGCCGCTCTGCTTATAGGAAGTTCCTGAATTTTTCATATTCAATTAGGAAGAACAAGAATATCATAAAGTAGTTGTAACAATAAAATAAGGAGCGAGATGATGGAATGACAAAGTGAACAGAGTAGGTTGTCGCTATCCTCGGTAGTGATGTGCCTTCGCTACTTCATATATCCAGAGTATAATTATTTGACATTGAACACACATTTATATTGGAGAGAGATAGAGATGTACATAAGACGGAACAACACAGAGAGAGAAAAATGGAAAATTATTAAAGAGTGACGCCGATATATCAGCACGCTTGGATTCAACTTTAAATCTTAACACCACAGTCGAATTAAATTAAAAATCAAACTTACTTACGTATTGTGTGGTCGAGATGTGAAATATGCGAGTTTGCTTTATGTCTTTGTAGTTGATTTCGGTTGTATTTGTAGTTGGTAAAGGTAACTTGTTTTTTTTCCACACATCTTTATTTATTGATGAAATCAATCAATCGTCACATTTGCGTCAAATAGACAGCAACCAACCGAACATATTTCATTCTGACTCATTGAAATCGCTTGGTTTTGGGTGTGGGTGTGAGTATCAGTGTGGATGAACAGCAAAATCCACATCCACACCAAACCACACTACAGCACACCACACCACCCCACACCACCCCACACCCACACCCACACCCACACCCACACCCTCAAGCAATTGAATAAATCTTAGGACGCATAAAATCTATTTCAGCTTCATGAAAACTTAACATAATTGTGTGTATCGTAATATTATGTGTATATATGCGATATGATATATGTATTATAGTAAAAAACAGAACGAAAAAAATTTTTTTAGTCTGCCGTAATGAAAACTAATCGGCGTAGAAACGTGGGTAACCTTATAAGAAACGAATACATGTATAGTTGAGTGTGAGGAAAGGAAAAAAATGATCATCCCTCAAATTATGCACAATGATATCAAGGAACTAATGATTCAGAGAGAGTTCGAAGTAGAAAGTTTCATGAAGTTATAATTTATACTACTCAAATCCGAAATTCAAACAAATCACTAAGCAGTATTATATTTTTTTTGATGCTTCGATTTTTCGATGAATTAAAATCAATTCTATCAAGTTTTCGTTAATTTTTTCAAGAAAAAACCAAAATATCAGAAACAAGAGAAAATTGGACAAATAAAATATTCATTCTGAAAGGGTGTGTGGGTGTGGGTGTGGGTGTGTGGGTGTGGGTGTGGGTGTGAGTGTGTGTGTGTGGATGTGGATTTTGTTGTTCATCCACACTGATACTCACACTCACACCCACACTCATACGCACAGCCACACCAGCATCCACACTGATACTCACACTCGCACCCACACCCACACGCATACGCATACCCACACCCACACTCATACGCACAGCCACACCAGCATCCACACTGATACTCACACCCACACCCATCCACACCCTTTCTGAGTTTTTTTCTTTAGGGATTGAAAAATAACGCTTAGAAATGTCTAAACTTTAAAAGAAGAATATTGTGAAAGATTGGGCATTCTGATTTTTTTAGAACTCCTCAATTTTCGAAAACTTTATATTGATCGATAGTATTCTTCTCAATCGAAGCATGTTTGTTTTTGGAAATAACCACCGTAGCAAAATATTACAAGTGATAGTGAGAGAGCGCTTTGTTGAAAAGTTGGTGTAATAAACTTTTGATCGTAGAATAATAAACGCTTTTCGTGAAAGAGTAAAACAATAAGCCCTTAGTTACGCAAAGCAAAACGTTTTTTGTGAAAAGACACAGGTATGAGCCTTTCATCGTAGAATAAAAAACCCTTTCCATAAAAATTATAACCATAAACCCATAACCGTAGAATAAGAAACCCTTTTTATGAAGGGTATATTGATGAACCTTTCTTTTTCTCCGCATAAACCCTTTTTTCATTTAAAATACCCTTTTCCTCGAAAATACTAGGGTTTCTTATTCTACGAACTGTTTCTTACAGTGTATTTCATTGAACATCAGTCTTCCTCAATTACTCTACAGTAATTCTTTTAGCATTATTTTAAAGATTAGTCTCTTTTATCAGCGTCCTGTTTCGTATATTGTACATTGTATTTTACTTACGTCTATGATACAGATCGTCGTTTGATACAAAACAATAAAAGAATGAATGTAAAACAGACATTCGGTTATTTATATATATATATATATACTTGTATCAATTCTTTTTTCTTTTTTCGTCAACCAGTCTTGAAAAAAGCGAGGAATCGAATGCAATGAATTCACTCTCTCTCTTCTATTTATACATTTTCTTTCCATTCTGTTTTTGCCGTCAACTTTTTCTTTCATCGAAGAACAGAATGGAATGAATTTTCTTGCTTGATCATGCGTATCGACAGACATCAACAAATAAAGATCAGTGTTTAATAATGTGATCAAAATAACAATGAGAAAAAAATTTCATGCATTTTATATTTCGAATAAGTCCGTGTTATAAATCCTGATTTTTCAAGAAGTCAAGCAATACATCGTTTCCCATTTACTTTTTCCTCTCCAAAAAGAAGCTCTTTGAACATGATATCACTCGTCGCAGTCGCAAGTTTAAAATCTTAAATAGAACCATACCCATGTCATTCGTCTCAGGATGGTCTTCCAATATGATTTTCCTAGTAAAAGCGTCTTTTTTAAAATTAGTTAATTAGGTACTAATTTTGTTTTGTAGCTCAGCAACTTAAAATTGAACCATGACTAATTTAATATAAATTTCTCGACCTATTGATAGCTGTGAACAGCCCTCTGTGACTGGTTTATAAACTGATATTTTCTTTTTCATTTCATGTTAGTTCATATATTTATTTTTCTTTCTTTAATCAAAAACATTAACGGTCGCACATTAGACCCTTTTCTTAATTATAGTTCACCAAAAATCAGTCAACTTCAATTGCTTTTTAGCTATTTTGCTAGAAATACTAAAATCTATCTAATTTTCTTCGATTGAACAAGTCAAGTTACGATCACTCGGATCGTACATATATCCAGGAAGAGTATGAAGCTTTATTGGTGTAACATGATCGGCCCATGTATACCCAAGTTCACGAAAAATTTTACTGAAATCAATAGAAGAAAGTGTTCTGTTCCATGCAATCAAAGTAAGTCGTGTACATAAAACTCTTCATTCTGATGCCGTGAGCTTAACCTTCAAGCGACCACATGCTTTCTCAATATACTCTTCTNACCCCTTCGGTATTACGGCAACAACAATTTGTTTCTTTCGTAATAATCGAATTGACTGATGATCAAGATGTGTATTTGAACTGTCAGAAATAAATAATTTCGGATTCTTGTCATTGACCTCCGACATCCAATATTCCGTGTATCTGGGGGGAAAAAAGAATTAATATATTTTTCATCACATCCTTAATTTCAGTTGATATCTTTTTATTCGCTCTTTAACTTACTTATCCATTGTAATCCGATTGTTAACAGCCTTCAGAGTAAAATACACTTTAACACCATTAGCATATTGCAGTTTCTCAATACTCGACGCCTGCCCTTTTCCTTTAAAAATTAATACTGGACCAACTCGTGTATTATCTGAACCAAAAATTGTTAATATAACAGTAGCGAACCGTTTATTACTAATATAACCTTCAATATCATTGGATGTATTGACATCATTTATCGATCATCTCGATTGATCTCCAAATAAACTTAATGGACTTTCGTCAATGTTGCATACATCTCGTGGAAGGGATGCTCCCATAGGTCCACAGCTTGGTGCCCATTGACTTGCTCGACGAATATAATCATAGAAATTGTTTATAAGTGGATATGCATCGGACAATGAAACTTTTTGGTTTCTTTTCGGTTTTTGAAGTGATAAACGATGACAGCGCATGAATCTCCCAAACCATTTCGTACTTGGACAAGGATGTTTTCATTCCACACTTAATAATTTACCTTGCCGTTAAAATTGACGAAATGTTACCTTCTCACGTCTTATTGTTGCTGTTGTTGTTGTACCAGTTGTAGCAACAGCTTTTGGATCAATAAATGTTTGTTTCTCTCGAAATCATAATAGCAATCGATGATCAAGGTCAACGAACTTAATTTTTACATCACCACCACTGAAACTTTTGCGTTTCTTACCTAAGATGTATAATTACTTTTTAAAATAGACAGTAAAATATTCAGCAAGTATCTGTATTTTTTCCCTTGTTCTGAATAAGATAATATAAATTTCACCTAGACTGAAAGATTAGCTGATCAAAAAAGATCAGTTATTCTTGTCATGCTTGAGCTTGGACAGTGTTTCAAGTTCCATTTTCCCTTTAAGCCATTGTGACGATAGATATCGTGAGCAACCATGTTGATGAGCAGTAAGCTGTTTATTACCAAGATTTTTTTCAAAGCTATTCAAAGCCGATAATTTTTCTTTAATAGACCATTGTTTCCGTTTTCGTTTCGTGCTGCCTTGATTACCGGTAGCTTTTGCTAATGGTTTTTGTAATTGAATGACACTACTGACTGAAGTTATAGGTGTTGTTGTTGTTGAAGAAATGAGATTCGACAGCACTGGATCATCAGAATCATCGTCTTGTTCAAATTCATCTTCGCCAATTGACTTTTCTAGAACAGTCTGTTCGCGCTCTTCGTCAGCACTAGCTTCGTCGTCATCAGTAGAATCCATATTTAAATATTTATTTAAATTAACAAGTGAATTTCCACTATCTTCTGTATCAGTAACAATTTCACATTGATCGTTATCTGCTGAACTATCCGATTCTTCTCCATCGTCGATGAAACGGGGTAGTGGCTGCAAGTGCTCATCTTGTGCCTCATAATCATAATACATATTTTTGTTTCGTTGTTGATTTCGATTTGAATATATACAAGTTACTTCTTCTGCACTTAATCGATATGATTGACCGTTATTCTCGATGCGTTCTTGTCCTTTCTCTCTGATTGTCTAATCTATCGTCTACTATGATCTACCATCGATCGACAAAAATACTTCAAAGAAGAGAAAATTTTTAGAAAGCCGTGGCCTTCTATTCCGCCTTGTGAATTTTTT